AAGTGGTTGGAGAGTGAAGTAGTAGGAGAAAAAGCAAACTAAGCTAATTGTATCACTGCGTGTACGGGCCAAGGCGGTATGTACGGTACGAGGGCGGACGGGGCGGGGCCGGGGCCGGGGGCTGGACACCCGGATCTCGCGGGAGACTCGCTCGGCAGCCACGCCCTCCCGGTGACCGCTGCCACCGAGGGACGCGGGCGTCTGCGCTCTGCAAGCCGTGGAGGGCCTGCGATTCCCTCCTCCAGTGGGAGGGCAGTGAGGCTAAAGAGTGCTGGCCTGTAGCCCTCCTTTTCCACCCTTCTGGAAGGGGGGGCTCTCACAGGTCCTCCATAGCCCCCAGGAAAGGGGGTCGAATAAGAGGTCCCGAGTGTGGAAGAACAGAAAGCACAGGGGAAATAAACTGATTTTAGGGGAAGCCTTTTACGTCCACTGACAACCTCCGTCCCTTTTTCTTTTCAAGAGGGCGTGTTGGGCATCTTCAGTGTTCAGCTGCAAACAGGGCTCCAGAAAACCACGCTGAATGCAGCATGCTCCCGCCCCGCCCCCGCCCCCGGGGGGGGGTCTCTGGTTCTCAGCCCTCGCAGCCCTGTCACCATTCAGCTGCACAAACCTATTTCCAAGGAAAGAGTTGGCTTTTGTGAGTCTACCTGAAAAGATCCCAAAGAGAAACAGCCTCCTTGAAAGCACTGAGCGCACGGGGAAGAGTAGGCTTAATTGGCGTCGCGGTATCACTGTTGCAGTTTTTCACCCCTAAGTGTTCATAAAGATTTTGGTCCTGGTGACAGATATTCTTTAACAAAATACCTCATAATGAATACCTGGGAATGGTTCCTGTCTCTTTTCCCGAGAAAGTATTTACCTTGATTCATGAGCATATTAACACAAAGATTTTCTCGTCACCGTCCTGAACAGCGTGACTTGCCTCCAACAAGAATTCCGGCTTTATCACTTCAAGCCTTTGGGGAGAAAATGTACCCTTTTCTTTAGCTTCTCAGGTGCTAATCAGCTACTAATTACCCTGAACCTTATTGACCTTCTCCCCTGGGTTTCGCCATCAGAGCACAGTGGCACGCACTGAAGGGAATGGATTCCTGCACCATTCACTCCCGTAAATACACGCGCTTTTATTTGAAGCTTTCAAAAACCTCAGAAAGAAGCACCGAGGAGACATACAAGCTGACAAAGGCAAGAATTGGGACAGGAAAATTACAGTCGATGGAAATGGAGGAAAATAGACCAATCTGTGCGCAAAGGAAGCTACCAGGAAGGAAATAAGAACGCTAAGGAAGACGAGACCTCCAAGCACCTCCAAGTCCGCGTTAGACTCAGGGTGCGGGCCAGGACCTTGACCCCTGACCCCTGGGCAGCCCTCCCTGCTGGGTCCCAGTGGGTCCACCCACAGAGAACAATCTGGGCAGTGAGGGGTACAACCCTCCAGTGGGGCCCACGTTCTCTGGCTTCCTACCCTGTGAGCCACATCAGTCCATTTTTAGCAACAAAAACTGCTTCTGTCTGCACCAAAGGAAGGGGCAATGATGAAAAGTGGCTTCCTGTGGGCTCCTTTCCCCTGAATCCCCTTCGGTTTCCTACTTCCCAGCTAAGGAAGGTGAGGGATTAGAACGAGTTCATTGAATGCTTAGTCTTCAGTAGCTGGAGGGAGTTAAACTATAGCTTAAAGCTGATAAAGTAATTAAAGCATAAACATATATGTACCCAGACAGAACTAGGAATAATTTAATAAATATAAATTAAGTGGTTGGAGAGTGAAATTGTGGAGAAAAAGCAAACAAGCTAATTGTATCATTGTTCTCTGAAGGGAACTAATAACGTGTTATTTAAGGAAAGAGAGTTCTGAGGTAATTACATGATGGTATAAAAGTAATCTTTGAATAAAAATACCAACATTGCTAATTATCAAAATAATTAGGTAAAGAAACATGTCAAACAGGTCATGTAGTTAATAGGTAGTAATATGTTTTTAATAGACTATTTTAAGAGCAGTTTAGAGTTCACAGCAAATTGGAGCAGGAGGTACAGAGAGTTCCCATGT